CTGGTAATAATTTTTTTCTTCTTCAAAAATTCATTGCTGGTAATAATTTTTACAAAAATGTTTTGCTGGTATTAAAATTTATTTTTACACTTTCATAGCGTTTTGACCCCAATTTGAGGGTTAACTCAAACGCGGATGTAGTTTATCGTCTTACCCAGGGCGTAATTATGATCTGAATTTTGATCTGAAATGCTCACTGTATAATGTTTGTTGATGTGATTATTAATTGTAAATGAATGAGATACGTTGGTAAAGGAGATTATGAATAAAGACAAAATGAAAACTTATGTTAGCCGACGCGTTTCGTCCTCTGACTTTATCAAGGTAAATGTGAATATTTTTTGTAATAACTGGAAATTTTCACAAAGGATATTATGTTAAAAAATTGTGAAAAAAAGGAATGTATTCTTCATCATCAGATTATTGACTTGCTGGTCTATCAATGGATGTTTAGTTGTTAAATAAAATGTTATATAATTCATAACATAATAACAGTGAAACTGAAATTGCAGAAGTGGACATTGTTTTGGGGGCTGGAGTCAACTCATGAGGAATTGCTTGTGAAAAGGTACAATAAATAGGAATATTTGTTTTCTTTGTGTTTTTTTTTTTACTAATGTTCACCGAATTCAAGCCCCAAGAGCCACTCAATGTAAAGGGTTACTGAAGGAGGAGGTTGTTTTATGAGTTTAAGAGTAAGAGGATGTAAGAAGTGCAGTTTATGAGGTTATGTCGCCGAAATAGCTGTTAAACCCAAACCTGAAGAAGTTATGATTGTAGTGACCAGGAAAACATCCTCTTGGTAGTCTGTTCCATAAAATAGAAGTTTTTGGAAGAAAGTTATCTAAGTGGAACTTCTTTGTTACTAATGGAATATGAAAGGAAGTAGAGATTTTCCAAGCGTAGCTTAGATGTGGCACAAGGCCGTAAGTATGGGGCCCTCCAGTGAGAATCGAACTCACTTTTCAGTAGTAACTGATCTAGCAAGCCAAGCTTGCTAACCATTACACCACGCCGAGCTGCCCAAGGAATGAGGATGTATGCAGCATGGCGGGTCTTAGCTGCAAAGATCAATACTAGTGGAACTAAAGACTGGAGCTCGTCAGAATCTTTAACATGAGTAAGGTGGGAAATAGTTCCCCATTCACGTAGATGCTTATCAAAATAGAAAAGTGGGGACTCCAGCCCAGAAATAACAGCAAACTCCATTTTGGGTTTGATCTGGCCCTTGTAAAGATAGAACATGGCAGGTGGAGTCAGGTACTTACTGAAGCGGTACAAGGAACCGATCATTTTTCCAGCGTCTTTAGCGATGGATCAGACATACAAATTCTATTTGAAGTCTGATACCCAATAGGAGTCTCTTTGAGAAAGCAATCATTCATTATGATGAGTGGAAGTTCTGGGTCAGCTCGGCGATGATGGAACGTTACTGGTTTGATTTTGGGTGTATTGAATACTACAAAGCCGCCTTGCCACCATGTTGAGCCGCCACGGTTAGTTCAGAAGAGAGATCAGCTGCATCGGTTCTGCTCATTTAGATTGTTGTATGTGCACCGATGCACTCTTTTCTTATCTACATTCACTAATGATATGACAATGTTCCTAAGCAAATCCTTAATACCAAGTAGAAAAACGGTAGGACCGAGAAGGATTTGATTAACTGATCTGTTTAACGGTATATGAACACCTTTATGGGTCATTTAATGCCGAAATTAAATTTTCTTTGGATCTTGGAAGTAATAAAAAATATATGCGTTATTCTGCTTTCACAGTTGAATACATGGTAGATGATACTCAGCTTTTGTGTATATACATATTTGTGTGGACATAATTACTAGAAGCAGTGATATGTGTGTTTTATGTTGAAGTTATATTTTGTAGGATATTATATGGATTAATGTCATGAAAAAATTCATATTGGTTGTTTGGTAGTATTTTAAACGGATTTCGCTGAAGTCACTACAATTTGTTAGTATGTGCATATATTTGGTAATTTTACTATAAATATGTATTGCTGGTGTTTTTACTATAAAAAAGTATTTTTATACTTTCATAGTGTTTTGTTTGGGGGTCACTATTTGCTACTATCGCTGGTCAGGGTGGACCTGGAGACAACAGCAATTGAGTGGCAGTAGTAAGACCGAGAAGAAAATGCTTACATATAAAGTAACCGCTCAATGTTCATTAGGTTAATGGTTAGCGAGATTATCTGGTTGACTGTTACTATTGACTTTGGTACTCACTAGGTGCCCTGTACTTGTAGCCTTGTGCCACATACTAAACTCACTGATTTATCTGGGATATTTATTGAACGAAACTATTTTAAATACTACATTCTTAAGCACTTAATGAAGTTCGAACTGACTCCGAATAATTTAGCAAAGCACTCACATTAATTACTGCACTATATTTGTTTGTCTTTCTACGGGGGGGGGGGGGACTGAAATAAGAATTAAAAACTCGGGTTGATTAAAACTCATCGCCCGTGTATGCTTCGTCTTAACTAATCTTAAAAACCACTATTACTGCAGTGCGCCAATGCAAGGCCTTGTGCCATACTTAGCCTAGTTACTATCTCGCACAGAACGTGATGGAATAATAGTTAACAAGCTAAGTTTACAAATTATTACTACTGTAGTGAGTCAATCTTTTTCAGCCTTGTGCCAGACAAGATAAGTTGTAAAACAAAATACGTAGATTAATGTGATTCCTTTCATGCCAACTTGTTAGAAATACAGAATAAGAAATTGAAATTCTTATTGGAATCCAATAATTATCCATGAAATTGTATTTACTCTAAATCATGTAAATCATGTTTTTTTTAGTGAATCTCAAAGAGAATATTTAGAGATTTGTGCAGATTAAATCAATTTAAATTCATCTTTGAAACAGCTTCATGATTCCATCCTCCCAGAGCTTCACGTCCTTCTGCTCTAAGTGGATTTTACAGACTTCCACAGAATTGTAATTGTTTCCATTAAGAGAAATTTCTAGGGATGAAAAAAATTGATAATCCCAAGGTGCGAGATCACGTGAATACGACATCTGTACCAATTTCTGCAAAGAATCATGACATCTGGTGTTGTCCTTACGGTAGATGACAAACTCCTGACTGACAAATTCTGGATGCTTTTCATCTATTGCAGCCTTTAATTGATTCAACTGGGGACAGTATTTTTTTTTAATTCAACGTCTGATTTAAAGGAAAAAACACCTAATGCATAATACGATTCCAATTCCACCAGATACACATCATATCCTTCTTCTGGCGGAAACTGGCTTTTGCAGTTGTTAATGATGTTTTAAACAATTCATTTTTCATCGCCTGTGACCGTTCTTTTTTAAAATTGGTTTGTTTTTGTTGCGTTTGAGCAAAGAATCGCAGATGTAAATGCGGCGGTCCATTTAATTTTCTTCCATCAATCGTAAGGCAGCCAAACATCACTGATATAAAATATGTGGAACATCTCTGCGATGTCCTGCGTTGGCTAACCTGCATTATTGTTAATCAGCCTTTCTATATAATCATCATCAACGACTACAGGCCTACATTTTTTCAATCTTCCAAATCAAACTTTCCCAATTCTGAACACGGTGAAACACTTACGAACAATACTCACGGATATGGTACCATCTCTATAAATGGCACATATCATTTTTTTTTTCTTTTTTACAATGTTTTCTTTTTCTTCCCGATATAAATGAACAACAAATGACAAAAGTGCATCTCGTTTTCCTCCATTTTTACTTTTAACGTAAGAAGAGTTAAAATTAACAATCCAATCAAACACAAGTTGTACAGAAAAACAGGTTGAAATGTCACCTTTCAGAATATATATATATATATATATATATATATATATATATATATATATATATATATATAATAAACTTAAAAACAAAATGTTTTTTTTTTTTTAAGTTTATGATTAAATATTCTCAGTGTATCAAACTTGAGGAGTACTGGGACGAAACCAGGTTGTTTGTTTTTAGTTCTTAGTTTTTCATAATTATGTCCTTTACATTCCGCTTATTCCTTGCCATAATAAAAATTCTGTACCTGTAAGAATCTTTCAAATATATATATATATATATATATATATATATATATATATATATCTGACGCCTACTGCGAAACGTAATCATATGTTCAAAATCGATATATACCTAGATAAATGTCGTTGCGTTACATTGAGAAAAGCATTTATTTTCCCAAAAATATTTTGGGAAAATCAAAAAATATAGAATTAATTTTTGGGATCAAAATTCAAATCAGGCTACGAAACTTATTGTTTATATATATATATATATATATATATATGTGTGTGTGTGTGTGTGTGTGTGTGCCTGCGTATATAATCAATGTAAAATACATATAAAACCCTGTAATGTATAAAATAGCCAAATTATGTCAATAACACTTTCATCATTTCTTTTTTTTTAGCGATGATATCCTATTTCTTTTCTTGTTTTGTTGCATAAATACACGCTTAATGGTGGAACTTTCTACAACAAATTTCAAGTCCAAAATTGGAAATTCGTTTGTAATCATTAAATATTTCCCTTGGCTCATGATATCGTCTGTAGAAAACGACTAAATGGGAGGGACGCTTTAAGAAAGTACTGGTCGCTCAGTGGGCATCGACTAGAGAAAATGAAACTCTAAAAGCTAACTATGATTATTATTGCTACAATTTTCCACATAGCACCAAAACTTGCCACATCAATCGATATGTAATCATTAAAGTAAATGAATGCTTTTCAAGTATTTGTTTAAATCCGATCCGTTTAGTAAAAGAAATATTTTCATGGGTTTTAGCATATGGTATTAGGCTGTAACAAAAGTAGTTGCGTTATTTAATTACATTTTTATGTTTTTTAAGCTAACTTTTAATAGGAGAATTATTCATGTTCCGCGCCCTTCTGATATTTTTCGCGTGCGGATTCTTAAGTTATCTCCCTTATATTTTAAGGTACTATCTTCGACAACTGTTGAATCAAATGATGCCTGAACAGTTCCAGAATCCCAAAATGTAAAAGAAGAAGAAGAAGAACAACAACAACAACGAGGAGGAAGAGAAGAAGAAAGAAGAAGAAGAAGAAGAAGAAGAAGAAGAAGAAGAAGGAGGAGGAGGAAGAAGAAGAGGAGGAGAAGTGGAAGAATAGGAAGGGGGAGGGGGAAGAGAAGAAGAAGAACAACAACAACAATAACAACAAGGAAGAGCAGAAGAAGTTGAACGAGAAAAAGAGAAAAAAGAAGAACAACAAGAAGGAGAAGGAAGAGCAGGAGAAGTGAAACAAGAAGATGGAGGGGAAGCAGCAGCAGAGGAAAGAGGAGTAAAAGAAGAAAAGGAGGTGGAAGAGCAGAAGAAGAAGAAGAAGAAAGAGGAGGAGAAGTAGGAGCTAGAGGAGGAGGAAGAAGAAGAACAGCAGCAGAAGAAAAAGGAGGAGAAGAGGAAGAAGATATAGAAGAAATAGGAGGAGGAGGGGGAAGAGCAGAAGCAGAAGAAGATGATAAGAAGAAGGAGTAGGAGGAAAGGAAAAAGGAGGAGGAAGAAAAGAAAAAGGAGGGCGAGGAGGAAGAGCAAAAGAAGAAGAAAAAGGTGGAGGAGAAATTTAAGAAGAAGATACAGAAGAAGAAGGAGGAGGAGGGGGAGGAGCAGGAGGAGGAACAGCAGCAGAAGAACAACGACAACAAAAACCAGTACAAGAAAAAGGAAAAGCAGAAAAAGAAGAAGAATGAGGAGGACGAAGAGCAACAGCGGCAGAAGAAGAACAAGAAGAAGAAGCAGAATGAGGAAGGTGGGAGGAGGAGAAGAACCAGAATCACAAGAAGAAGCAGGAGGAAGAGGAAGATTATTAGGAGGAGGAGAAGGAGGAAGAGCAGGAGAAGGAGATGAAGAAGAAAAAGAAGAAAGAAAAGCAGTGACAGAAGAAAAACAAGCAGAACAAGAAGGAAGAGATGAGAAGAACAACAACAACAAAAATAAGAACAAGAAAACGTAGAAATACAGCAGAAGAACAAGAACAAGAAGGAGAACAACAACAAGGAGGAGCAGAAGAAGAAAAAGGAGGAGGAGGTAGAAGGGAAGAGCAGCAACAGAAGAAGGAGTGGGAAGAAAAGAAAAGGAGTTGGAAGAGCAGCAGCAGAAGAAGAAGGAAGAGGAGAAGAAAAAGGAGAAGGAGAAGGAAGAGCAGCAGCAGATAAAGGAGAAGGAGGAGAAGCGGAAAAAGAAGATGTAGAAGAAGGAGGACGAAAAGCAGCAGAAGGAGGAGGAGGATGTGCAGAAGAAGAAAAAAATGAACAACAACCAGGACAAGAAAAAGGAGAGGCAAAAAAAAAGAAGAATGAGGAGTAGGATGAGCAAGATCAGAAGAAGAAGAAGAGCAGCATGAGAAGAAGAAGAAGAAGAAGAAGAAGAAGAAGAAGAAGAAGAATATCAACAATAAGGACAAGAACAAGAAGGAAGAGCAGAAGAAGGACTAGAAGAAGAATATAGAAGAGCAGCAGATGAAGAGAGGATGAAGATGATGAAGGAGGAGGAGGAAGTAAGGAGGACGAGGAGGAAGAAGTGGGAGAAGAAAAAGGAGGAGGAGGAGAAAGAGCGGAAGAAGGAGCTAGAGGAGTAATGGAAGAAGAAGAAGGAGGAGGAGGAGCAGAAGAAGGACAACTACAATCAAGACAAGAAAAAGAAAGAGAAACAGAAAAGAAGAAGAATGAGGCGGACGAAGAGCAACAGCAGCAGCAGCAGCAGAAGAAGAAGAAGAAGAACGGGAAGGAGGAGAGAAGAACTGGAAGAACAATAACAATAAGAACAAGAATAAGGAGAGGAGTAGAAGAAGCGGAAGAAGAAGAATATAGAGAATAAGAAAGAGGAGGAGAATAAGGCGGAGGTCTAAGAGCAGATGAGAAGAAGAACAATAACAACAAGAACAAGAACAGGAACATGAATGAGGACAGACGAAGAAGAAAGAAGAGCAATAGATGATGATGATGATGAAGTGGGAGGAGGAAGAGAGAGAGGGAGGAAGAGAGGGAGGAGGTGGAAAGCAGAAGGAGGAGAATGAGGAGGAAGAGAAAAAGAAAATGGAGAAGTAGGAGGATGAGAAGGAGGAAGATGAGAAGGAGGAAGATGAGAAGGAGGAGGAGGAAGAGCAGCAGCAGAAGGAGGAGGAGGAGAAGAGGAAGAAGAAGATAGAGGAGGAGGAGTAGCAGCAGAAGAAGAAGAAGTTGGAGGAGGTGGAGGAGGAAGAGAAAAATGAAGAACAACAACATGAAGCAGGACAAGAAAAAGAAGGAGAAGCAGAAAGTAGAAGAATGAGGAGGAGGAGGAAGAGCAACGGCAGAATAGTAGAAGAACAAGGAGGAAGAAGAAAAGATGAAAGAGCAGTACCAGAAGACGAAGGAGGAGGAGTAGAAGAAGAAGAAGAAGAAAAGAAGGAGGAGGAGAAGTGGAAGATGAAGAAGAACAAGAAGAAAGAGGAGCAGAAGAAATACAAGAACAAAAAGAACAGGAACAACAATAGTAACAAAGAAGAGGAGGAAAAGAAGAAGAAGAAGAAGAAGAAGAAGAAGAAGAAGAATTTAATCTGATTACACATTTTAACTGCAATCATACAACATCATACAATTAGGAAACATGATTCTGCAAATGTCAGCTACATATTCAACCAATTGTACCAACAATCATGATCTGTTGACTTGCAGTCTCTAGAGGTTTCAGGTTGAAACTTGGAGGCGGCTCATAAAACAAACAAGCAGACAGAAATAATAATAATAATAATAATAATAATAGTAATAATAGTAATAATGAAGCCATATACAGTCTTTAGATTTTTACATGAAATAAGCTTTAGAATAAAAGCCTTTTAAAAGAGAAAAATATTTTTGATAAAGCCTATAATCTTCTTTGTATTAGGACGGAAGTTCGAAAGCGTCTACAGTGTTAATGACTTTTCTTCCTATCGAGAATGGACGAAATCTAAACATTCCGAATGTGTTATCTTTCTATTGAGGCCAGATTCAACCTGGGCGGATGTGGGTTCGATCCACCCTACAAAGGATACAAGGTCAATATTACAAGATGCTGAAGAAAATTATTTTGCAAAGGTCGTTCTTGTCAAGCCAAAATCTCATCTATTTTATTTATTTAAATGCCGGCTTGTGTTTTTTTTCTCTCTGTGCATATTCATTCTTTTTTCTCTCTTTCTTCTCCACGAACTTTATTCGTTTATTAATATATATATTGATTTTTTCTTTTCTTCTTTTTCATTGAAATTTTCTTTTCCTTACGCAAAATTTCGGGCCAGAATTAAACGGTCTGTTTGGTTGAGGTTTTTCTAGGGGAAACAAAAAACCATATGTTCAATTGTGCGGAATACTCAGTACATTATGTTGTATGTTACTTGGAGAGGAGATGGGCATTGCCAAGGTAACCCGTGTTAAGTCCACTAACTGTTATAGCTCCTTCTAATATTGATATGATTTTCCTTTCCTTAATTCTTCTGGAAAAAGTATAAATTCACATCTCCCAACAGTCCAGATCAGGGATTATTTCTTTATGTTGGCACCATGTAAAACTGTACAATATTTTGCATGTTACTTGGAGAGAAGATGGGTACCTCCCTGTTGCCTCAGAAAATATTATAGAGAGACATTTTTGTACGTTGGTATTCCACGCGGTCATCGGATGATGTGATTTAATTTATATATGTATATATCTTGCCAGTCATTCACTATTTCGAGTCACCTTACCTGAGGTGTGATATCCTATCGTCTTTCCTTTAGAATGCAGGGCGTTTCCCTTCAGAATGTTGACCATCAAAAATCTTTCCAAATAATGAATACATTTAAAATGACACAGGGGGCAAATTGAATGAAAATGCAGGAAGCAAATTTAAAATATGCAGTAAACTAATTGAAAGACAAACGCAGGAAGCAAATTGAATGAAAAAATAGGAAGCAAATTAAAAGAAAAACGCTGTGAACCAATTGAAAGACAAATGCAATGACCAAATTGAAATTACAAAGCAGAAAGCAAATTGAAAGAAAAACGCATGAAGCAAATTAAAACAAAACGCATTAAGCAAATTCAAACAAAAACGCTGGAAAGTAATTGAAGAAAAATAGAACAAGCAAATTGAAAGAAAAACGCAGTGTGTACATTGAAAAAACTCAGTAAGTAAAATGAAAGAAAAATGCAGGAAGCAAATTAATGAAAAACGCAGCCAACAAATTGAAAGAAAAACCCAGTAAGCAAATTGTACGTAAAACACGGGAAGCAGACCGAAAGAAAAATGATGAAAACAAATTCAAAGAAAAAAGCAGGAAGCAAATTGAAAGAAAAACGCAAGAAACAAATTGAAAGATAAGGCAGGAAAAAAGAAAAACGCTGAAAGCAAATTGAGAAAAGACGCAGCAAGCAAAATGAAAGAAGAAAGCAGCAAGCAAAATGAAAGAAATGACATGAAGCAAATTGAAAGAAAAATGCAGGAAACAAATTGAAAGAAAAACGTAGGAAGCAGCTTAAATGAAAACGCTTGAAGCCAATTGAAAGAAAAACGCAGTAAGCAAATTGAAATACCAAAAGCAACAAGCAAAAAAGAAAAAAAAACATGATAAGCAAATTGAAATACCAAAGCAGTAAGCAAAAAGAAAGAAAAACGCAGTAAGCAAATTGAAATACCAAAGCAGCAAGCAAAAAGAAAGAAAAACGCAGTAAGCAAATTGAAATACCAAAGCAGTAAGCAAAAAGAAAGAAAAACGCAAATTAAATTAAGAAAGGAAACTGAAAAAAAACGCAGCAAACAACTTGAAAGAAAAAGCTTGAAGCAAATTGAAAGAAACCGCTTCAAACAATTTGAATGAAAACACAGGAAGTCAACTGAAAGAAAAAAGTAAGCAAACTGAAAGAAAAACACAGGAAACAATTTGAAAAAAACGCAGTATGCAAATGGAAATAAAAAAAACTGCAAGCAAACTGGAAAAAAAACGCAGTAAGCAAACTGAAAGAGTAACGCAGTGAGCAAATTGAAATACCAAGGCAATAAGCAAATTGAAAGAAAAAAATTGAAGCAAACTGAAAGAAAACACAGGAAGACTATTGAAAGAAAAACGCAGTAGGGAAAATGAAAGAAAAATGCAGGAATGGAATTGAAAGAAAAACGAATGAGGCAAATTGAAAAAAAACGCAGTAAGCAAATTCCAAGAAAAACGCAATAAGCAAATTCCAAGAAAAGCGCAAGAAAGAAATTGAAAGAAAACGTAGGAAGGACATTGAAAAAAAACGCGACAAACAACTTGAAAGCAAAGCATGAAGCAAAATGAAAAAAACGCTTCAAGCAATTTCAAAGAAAAACGCAGGAAGCCAACTGAGAGAAAAACGCTGTAAGCAAATTGACATAAGAAGCAGGAAGCACATTGAAAGAAAACGCTGGAAGTCAATTGAAAGAAAAACGCAGTAGGCAAAGTGAAAGAAAAACGCAATAAACAAATGGAAAGAAAAAAGCAAGAATGGAATTGAAAGACAAACGCAGGGAGCAAACTGAGAAAAACGTAGGAAGCAAATTCCCAGAAATAATACATCAAGCAAAATGAAAAAAAAACGCCATAAGCATTTTGAAAAAAAAAGCTGTAAGCAAACTGAAAGAAAAACGCAGTAACCAAACTGAAAGAGAAAACAAAGGAAAAACATGAAAGAAAAACGCAGTAATGGAATTGAAAGAAAAACGCATGAAGCAAACTGAAAAAACGCAGTAAGCAAATTGAGAGAAAAATGCAGGAATCAAATTGAGATAAAACGTATCAAGCAAATTAAATGAAAACGCTGTAAGGAAATTGAAAGAAAATGCTGGAAACAATTTGAAAGAAAAACACAGAAAGCAAATTGCAAGTAAAACACAGGAACCAAACTGAAGGAAAAACCCTGGAAGCAAATTGACAAAAACGTAAGAAAAATATTGACAGATATAACCTGTAAGGAAATTGAAAGAGAAATGCTGGAAACAAATTCAAAGAAAAACACAGGTAGAAAATTGAAAGAAAAGCACATGAAACAATTTGAAAAACAAAGACAGTTGCAAATTGAAAGAAAACGCTGTAAGCAAATTGAAAGAAAATGCAGTAAGCAAATTGAAAGAGAAATGCTGGAAAGAAATTGAAAGAAAACACGGGAATCAAATTAAAAGAAAAACGCAAGAAGCAAATTGGAAAACTAGACAGGAAACAAATTGAAAGAATATGCTTCAAGCAAATTGAAAGAAAAAGGCAGTAAGCAAATTCAAAGAAAATCGCAGTATTTAAATTGAAAGAAAAACGCTGGAAGCAAATTGAAAGAAAAAACGCAGGAAGCAATTTGAAACTGGAAGAAAAACGCAATACGCAAACTTAAATAAAACGCATTAAGTAAATTGAAAGATAAACGCAAGAAGCCAACTGAGAGAATAACGCTGTAAGCAAATAAATCGTAAAAAAAAATAAACAGGTAGGAAACTGAAAGTAGAACGTAAGGAACAAATTGAAATAAAATCACATTAAGCAAAATGGATGAAAACACAGGAAGCAAAATGAACGAAAAATGCAGGAAGTAAATTGAAAGAAAAACACGTGAATCAAATTGAAAGAAAACGCAATAAGCAAACTGAAAGAAAAACGCAGGAAGGAAATTGAAAGAAAACACAATGTGCAAATACAAAGTAAAAAGCAGAAAGCGAATTGAAAGTGGAACGCAAGAAACAAATTTAAATGAAAACCCAGGAATCAAATTGAAAGAAAAACACAGAAAACAAATTGAAAAAACAGAAGCGGTAATCAAATTAGTAGAAAAACGCAGTAAAGAAACTGAAAGAAACACGCAAGAAGGAAATTGAAAGAAAACGCAGGAAGCCAACTGAATGAAAACGCTGGAAGGAAATTGAAAGAAAAACGAAGGAAGCAAATTCAAGAAAAACACAGTAATCAAATTGGAAGAAAATGCAGTAAGCAAACTGGAAAAAAAACGCTGGACGCAAATTGAAAGAAAAACGCAGGAAATTAATTGGAAAAAATGCAAGAAGCAAACGGAATAAAAACGGAGGTAGCAAATTGAAAAAAAAAGCGCTGTAAACTAATTGAAAGACAAACGCAGTGAGCAAATTGAAATAACAATGCAATAGGCAAATCGAAAGAAATACGCAAGATGTTAATTGAAAATAACGCAGGAAAGAAATTGAAAGAAAAACGCTGAAAGCAAATTAAAAGAAGAACGCAGTAAGCAAATTGAAAGAAAAACACAGTAAACAAATTGGAAAAAAAACGCAGGAAGAAATTTGAACGAAAAACCAGAAAACAAATTTAATACAACGGCAGTAAGCAAATTGAAAGAAAAGGGCAATGCGCAAATTGAAAGAAAATCGCAGTAATTAAATTGACATAAAAACGCAGGATGGAAATTGAAAGAAAAACACAGTAACCCAATTGAAAGATAAACGTAATAAGCAAATTGAAAGAAAATGCTTAAAGTAAATTGAAAGAAAAACGCAAGATGCAAATTGAAAGATAACGCTGTAAACAAATTAAAAGAAAAACGCAGGGAGAAAATTGAAAGAAAAACGCAGGAAGATAAATTGATAGACAACGCAGTGCCAATTTTTTTACGAAAAATGCAAGAAAAACGCATTCAAAGAAAAGCCAATAAGCAAACTGCATGGAAAGACACAGGAAGTAAATTGCAAGAAAAACGCAGGATGGAAATTCAAAGAAAAGCCAATAAGCAAACTGCATGGAAAGACACAGGAAGCAAATTGCAAGAAAAAAGCAGGAAGTAGTTTGAAGGAAAAAAAACAAGAAGCAAATTGAAAAAAAAAAAGAATGCAAATTTAAAAAACGCATATTAATAGTAAAACAATCAAGACACGAAAGTAAGGCAAATCATTTTAAAAGTAAGACAGGCAAATTTAAAAAGTAAGTCTATCAAATTTTAAAAAGGAAGGCAGGCAAAATTAAAAAATAGTAAGTAACGCAAATTTTTAAATCTTAAGGCAAGTAACCTGAAATGTAAGAGCGGCAAACTAAAAACTGCAGTTAATTAGTGTCAATCAAACAAAAGAAAATGCGTCAAATTGAAAGCAAATTAATAAGACAGGCAAACTGCATAGAGGGACTCGAATATATAAAACATTTTATATTTTTGCACTTTCTTTGTGAAAATTATTATTAATAAAATGTATAGACCTAGTTTGACACAAGAACTCAAGTATGGGGCACCCGATGAGGATTGATCTCACTAGTAATGCTAATCGAAACTAACCTGCCAATCGTTATACTAAATCACTACTACGAATAGTGAAAAAAACACGGCTATAAATCACTCAGTGAATATTATAATCGTTGCTCGTTTGTCGTATTTGAAACTGGCTCTTTCGCCATAACACCTCTGAGGTACTCAAGCTGCGCTAAAAATTACTTATTTATGAATTCAGATCAGTTTTTATTTTAATTTGCTTGTCTTTTTAATTTTCTTCAGAGAATTCATGGAGAGGTTCGTTTTTCATTCAATAATTCTCTGTAGAAATTCTTTAATATTGTTTATCGATATCTGAGAATCTCTTTCCCTAACATTTTCGCTAATTGCAATTTTATTTCTTGGCGTTTATGCATATATATATATATATATATATATATATATATATATATATATATATATATATATTGAGGCAGGTTTCATTAAATAATATAGATAAGTTTTGTCTATTTATTTTACGTTAATTCTTTTCATATCGTCTGATAAGCTTAATAACTTTATCATTAAAAGAAAAAAGAAAATCACAATATTGATACATATATACATAGTTTTTAATCCTATCTAAGCTTTCGGTTTACATAACCCATTATCAAAGAGGACAATTACATTACAATATATTAAACAATACACGGACAAAACAATAATGACTGTTTATGTTTACATGGAAGATTTCCAAGCAACGACAAACTCGTGCATACGAGACGCTGGAAGCGAAAATCGCACCACAGCTCATGACGTCATACATGACCACGCTAGAGTGAAAACGAGAAGTATTAAGTATGGGAAGCCGTTGGTGTAAGCCAATGGCTTCTGTTATCAATTATAGGCATTTAAGAATATTTGTGGAGAGTCATTTACGCACTAACAAACGAAATATGTATATCTGTATGAAGAGAAAACACCAAATTTTGAAAAAAAAAAGGATTGTCAGTAGGCAGGAATTAAAACGAACGTTACACAGAATCGAACCATTTTATCTATAATTATTTTTAATTTTTTTCTTCGATTATTTTCATCGTTTAAGAGATCATTTTTTTGAATTAATTTATTTAATTTTTGTTTCATTTTATTTTTTCTTAAACAATTTAAATGTTGTTTACTTGTCAAAATATCTCGAAAGAGTACATTAAAAATTTTAAGTTTTGATATTTACGATGGCCATGAAATAAAAATAAAATGTGAACATTTTTTCCTCTCTCTCTCTCTCTCTCTCTCTCTCTCTCTCTCTCTCTCTCAATGAACAAAAAACTAGCCACTTTCATTTACCGTTGATAACTGAGAAAGTATTGACCCGTTTTAACAAACCCGTCTCTTCTTCTCTCTATATTCATTCCAAATGATTTTTTTAATTGTTTTCGATTTATTTGCTTGCTTCATGTTTGATAAAATAGTTAAATGCAAAGCATCCGAAATAAATTTAATATCAAAGATTAATAAGCTCAGAAAAAACTTCAATTATTCCCGCTTAAGCTGCGTGCACACACACGCGCGCGCTCGCGCATGCACACACACACACGCACACAAGGCCTTTGCAGGCGTTTGTAGGTATTATTTTTACCAGTGACGTAACGCAATGGAGACTAAATTTTAACTCATTTTCGTAATTAGCGCTTTTCGGGAGTGGGTAGTTGTTTGCAGGCTGGCTGGGGGTCTAATCAACCGTCCCTGTATAGGCTGTCCATATTGGTGTGTGTCATATTAAGATATTATTTAGGACGGTGGCTAAGGATTATAGGGGGCATTTGGGAGGAGAAGGAAGAAGAGATGGGAAAAGTAATAGGAAGATTGAGCAATTGGAGGAGGAGGATTTTGAGAAAAAAAAGGGAAAACAAGATGAAGAAATTGAAGGTTAATAACAATTGAGAAACGGAAGCAGAAAGAAATAAAAAAAAACAATTTTGACAAAAAGAATTAAAAAATCAGTAAAAGATAAAGAAGAGAATGTTAAAAAGAAAAGTAAAAATAGTGAGTTAGGAAAAGGAAAGAAAAGGAAAAGAGGGAGGGAATGAAAGTAGCAAAAGAAGAGGGGGGTAGAAGAAAGAAAGAAAGAAAGAAAACGAGTAATAAAGAAAGTGTTGCAAACGTAAATTTGCGAGAGACGAAGAAATAATTTTGAGGAATGATAGATGAAGAGAAGACTTATGATTAGATGAACATATTCGACAGCAAGAGGGTGATGAGTGGAGTGGCGATGCCATGTCGAGTCGAGAGCCTGACTCAGCTGATACAGCTTCCCACCAATAAAAGTACTGCTTTTTTGTCGGTCGCCGGAGTCACGTGATTTTATTGAGTGCGTGTGAACCTCGCCAGCCTCCATATCACATAGCGGCGGTGGAGGCAAAAATGAGGAGGCAGCGGTAAAAGGGGGTGATGTGGGCGTCAAGCTACAAGTGAGGCTTACCCCGGCACCTTTTTTTTTTCTTTTTTTTTTCCTTTTGCTTGGCATGGCTTTGTTAGCTGCGGAAATCTAGCCAGTCACTGTGTGACTGAGCGAAGTGGCAGTGTGAAGTGGCAGTGTAGTTGTGCAAGCACGTGGGCTTTCTGATCAAATCGGGGAGAAACGAACCCTTGTCCTTAACGATATCTACCCAGTCTCGTAGACAGTTCGCTGGTGTAGGAAGTTCGATTCTCACTAAGAGCTCAGTACTGGTAGCTCTGATGAAATGGTATGCTGAAATATAGATCGGTTGAAATAAACTTAACTTAGGTACCTCCATGAGATCGCTAAAAAAAGAGCATAGCATGATGAAAAAGACGCCAAACTTGACGAAAACAAAATTTTATCGTCTAAAATAAATGTTCATGTTATTATTAAGAGGAAAGATCAAAGTATTTGACGGGTATTTTTTTACATTTTTTAATTGTTCCTAGCACGATCGAAATTTTCGTTAAAAAATCGTGTTTTTTTGTTTTGTTTTTGTTTTGTTTTTTTCAGCAAAATTGACAGATAATCAATCATGCCTTCCATTTTTTGCCATTTTATATTAAAAAAAATGAAAATCTCAGTTCGAAATTCTTTTAAAAATCAATTATCATTTTTTCAAAACTTATTTTAAGAAAATCAGAAAAATTATAATGTTTATTTAAAATATTTTGAACCAAGCTTAACTTAGCTTCTGCGCCGAAAAGATGTAGTTTGAAAATAAATCAAAGCAGGTCATAACCTTTCGCGTCACTTGACAGGTGTTGAATGACGTATTGACGGATTATTTACCTCGTTATTTTTAAGGAAAACTTTCAGCGCTCTAAATTTTTTTTGTACTTAGCTTTCACCTTTACGTTTACCATGCTTTATGGAAAATATATTCTAAAGAAATTAAAATAAGACTGTTAAGAGTGGCATTAAATTTCATAAGAAAGGTATCTAATTAATTTATAGGTATCTTTCTTATGAAATTTTATCAGAAGTGTACATAAAATACTATAATTTTATGTACATTTATTATATTTTACTGTGTTATTTGTATTTCCATTCATTTTATTATTAATTTTGATATTTCATTTATGGAAAAAGGTCATAACTGAGATTAATATAAAAATAAGATCATAAAAATTTCATAAGATGATACTGATACTTGTAGGTACCCTTCTCAGTTGAAATTGACAAATCAAATTAACTTCTCCACACGTGTTTCGCAAAAGTAAAGGCCTTAACAGCGGAGAACAATGCTTAACTCAAATAACGCAACTTAATTGTATTATGGTTGGTCTTCCGTACTTTATAATTACAGCCCGATTATAAACACAAAATTACATTTCTTAATTACTGCGGATCTTCAGATTAATCAAAACGATACAATTTACAACGCACTAAAAAAAGATCTCTCATAAGGACACTTACAAAAGCGGATGCGGCTTTTAATTAATTTTATAATATTTTAACAACTTAAATGTAAAAATCTATTATAATTAAAGAAATAACAAATAATTGTATTAAAAATTCATTTTTCATCGAAAAAAATTTTTGCTTTCAGAAAATATTGTCCATATTCATAAAAACAACTAAAAGCAAATAAAAGCATTTGAAATTAAATAATATCTTTGTTTTATTGAGTTTTGTATGTTACAATTCAGAGTTGATTTTCAGGTGAGGGGGGGGGCAATTAAAAACAAAAAAAAACATGATTTGCATTCCTCCAAGCCTTGTGCTTTTAACTATTGTAATCACTAAACTAGATTCGATCAAATTTCTAGCGTTTTCATAAAATTAGTTGGTGGGGTAATAAATATAAAAAAAATATTTCTGCATGACTTTAATAAAAAAAAAAACATTTATAATAATTTTGATCATCTGTGAATAGTTTCTGAAAGTTTCATTAAAATCCGACAATTATTTTTATTTTTGCAAGATTTTCCGAATTAATGTGTGTCATACA